ATAATTTTTCAAGAATGACTGGCTTGTTTTCAGCTGGCGTCGAGCAGGAAAATCGGAAAAGATAAGATAAAAACTTTATTTCAGGTGCGTAACACCTTACAATATAAACGGGTGGCCCTCAAATGTAGTATCGCTATAGTAAGCATGGATAATAACAAAGATTAAGACTGTGATGCATCATATATGCATGGTATCCCCGCTCGTTTATTAACTGAAAGCGCAGATTGCTCCTTCACTGCTCAATAACTCTCTACGTTCTGCGCGCTCACTTTTATTCAGGAAACTTCATGTAAGTTATTTGTAAATACTTAAGGAGGCACTGCGGAGAAGAGAGACGTTCTGCCGTATAATTTCAGATGATTTGAATTTGGAAACTATTGCTCCCTTCAGAAATTTTCAAAACATTCCCTAACCCTCGAAATTATCGGGAATTGCTTGACCCCCTCGGAATTTTTGGAAATTTTTTGACCCCATCGGAAATTTTCGGGAATTTCTTGACCCCCCTCAGAAATTTTCGGGAATTTTTTTACCTCCTCAGAAATTATCGGGAATTTCTTGACCCCCTCGAAAATTTTCAGGGATTTTTTTAACCCCCTCGGAAATTCTCGTCAACAGGTAGTGCCCCTTCAGAAATGTTCAGAATTTTCCCCGGCCCTACAGAAATTTAAAAAAAAAATTTGATCCCTTCAGAAATTTTTGTTTTACAACACCCCTCGGAAATTTTCAACTTGGAACCCCCTCAGAAATTCAGAATTTCAGACCCCTTCGGAAAATCTCGTCCACAGGGGGGTGTAGATATTAAATGGAATGGCCCTGGTTTTTGTGACTCGCCTGTTGGACATTCAACTGTAGTTGAAACATGCGCCGATCTCGATAGTTCTCTGGGATGCTATCCGATTAGTTACTCGAGCGACGAAAGTCGGGATGAGAATGGTAAGCGATAAGTTTTTAACCCCAAATAATCATTTATATATATTTATTATATAAAGTATAGTGCTTTAGGCCATGGGAATGAAAGTCATAGATTTGCGTCCACCGCCCGCATGCCTCAAAAGCTACCGCCTAAAATTTTCATTATTTACAAAAAAAATCATTATTTTCACAAATAAAGCAAAACTCAATAAAATTAGCAATAAAATTGTGTATTGATTACAATGAAATGAACAAATTGCAGTACGTTTGTCCTCAGTATGCATATGAAATTCCAAATTATATTTACCGAAATCGCGAAATTGGCACACAGATCTTCAGTGCTGCGACCCAGTGAGCTCGTGATATATGTAATTCCACGGCGTGAACGGTAATTCGTGTTTTTATCTCTATATTTACCACCCAAAACAATAGTAAAAAATAATGAATAATGAATAATGAAGAAAAGCCGCATTCTTTTTCAAAATTACCCGGACGCAAATCTATGACTTTCATTCCCATGGCCTTATAGAGATTTCGAGCACTGATAAAAGTGATATCTCACATGTGAGATTATTCATGATAATCTCACATGTGAAAATTATCGCTTTTCAAATATCGCTTTTCTGTAAAAATTATCGCTTTTCAAAGACTGTCCTTTATATAATAAACAGAAAAATACATGGGTGCTTGGAAATACCAGATTTATTTCTCGTGTTGAACATGATAACATCGTGAGATATCATGTTCAACACTCGAAATAAATCTGGTATTTCCGCGCACACATGTATTATTCTCTCTCTCTCTCTATATATATATATATATATCGTGACCTTTCGAACACTGGATAAAATATAAATTGTAGTATTTGTTTGTTATGAATTATTGATTATTTGTAACGCAAAGTTTGTGGATCAAGCAATATGGTTTTCAGTTTTTCACTGAAGTCATACAACTTGACCAATCTGCTGTTGTCGACCCCCCCCCCTCCCATTTAATATAGTTTATAAGGATATATTTAATGCCAGTATAACCTAGGCACATTCAACATGAACTGAACTGACAGTACATACAGCCTGTGAGTCAGGATTATTAATTAACCAAAAAAATCATAGGCAATAGCCCTGGGTACTATAAACTTCCAAACCGGGTTCGATTCCTACCACGGTTAAGCAAACTTTTCAGCTGTGGCTGGATGGGGAGAATATATATACATTCTTCTAAATGGGACAAGGGTTCTTTTCTATAAGGAAACCCATTTGAAATTTGATCATTTTGACAAGTGAGAAAGTAAGCTGTCCTGGAGTGACATATTTGGCATATTTATCAGTTATAGAAGCCTTTCACTTGCAGGGTATTATACTGAACCTTGTATCGGTAGGGCTTGTACTTGCACTTGTAATAACTTTTAAATTTAAAACACAATTTGTGGTATTTGATAAAAATTCCTATGATCATGTGGTACAAGCATGAGAAAAGCCAATGTGATCTAGGGCTAGGCACATTGAACATGAACTGGCAGTTATACATGCATCCTGTGGGTCAAGATTATTGACCAAATAAATCATAGACAATACTACAATAGCCCCTGGGTACTTTATACCTCCAAACCAGGTTTGATTCCCACTGCGGTCAAGCAAACTTTTCAGCTTGCCCGGTGTGGACACACTCACAATGTGGACGGGCTGCTCATGCAGTGTGCTAAAATTGGCGTCTTTTTTTAGGCCTTAACTTTGCACTTTACCATACCTACACCACTGCAGAGTCAACTAGACAATGAATACCATAATACTGTATATTGTGTCTTTTGAAACAGGGACAATTACTGCATATAAGAGAGTTTAAGTTCGACTACCAATACCGATACCAGTGTTTTCACTTCCGTTCTCATTGTGGTACCTGGAATTTTAAAGCGTTAAGTTATCATGTACAACAGATAAAGTATAGAACACATTAGTCGTCACCGAAAATGTGCAGTATACTAAAAGGCAGCTGAGCTAAAATTCCGACTAAAACATGACTCAGGTGATGCTAAAAAAAATAGTTTGCATGTTTATCGTAAAAATTATGAAATATCTGATTTATATTAGTTCATCTTACCATTCCCCTGCATGACTTCCAATACAAAGCCGACTTCGGTAGTGGTGTACTCCAATACACTTGTCCTGAGCTCGTGCTTCTTGTGAGCAGAGAGCATGCGCATGGCATGTTGTTAGTATCGGTATTGGTATTAGTATTAGAAGTCAAACTTAAACTCTCTATTATCCAGTATTCCAGGGCTTTATCCAAATACAGGCAAGCACTTTTGCTGCCCCCGTTTTAGAAAAGAAGATTCAGTTTTTGTGATGCAGGAATGTAGCGAAGGGGCAAAGTCCATGAAAGATTTTGCTATTTCCACATCTTAGACTATGTTGCCGCTTTGTTGCTCGGATGTAACCGTGTGGTTTGTGAATGTAAATATTGCACGCAATATGCATCGATGTACTCATATTCGAGCTTATTTTTTCTGCGGCTTTTTCGCTCTTCCAGTTCAAGGTTGTGTAAATTTTAGATTTTAGTTGATCAGAAAATTTATTCTTCAATATTTCCATTTCATTGGTGCTTGGATAAAGCCCAGGTATCCAATATAATTTTCTCTTCAGGACTGGTATCCAGAGACTCAACTTTCTGGTTGCCATTGATCTGGTACTATCCGGCAAATACAAATGTCTATTGTGATAGTGCTTAAATTTAAGATATTGGGAGACCATGTGAGATGTTGTTTTCCTAATCTATAGTATAGCCAGTAGTTTTGTGAAATGAAATTAGATGAAGTGGGTAGACGTAGTGTAACTGGATGTGGAGAATACACATTCTTCTCAATGGGACCAGGGTTAACTTGTCATGGAGTGACATTGGCATATTTATCAGTTATTAATGGCCTTTCACTCCGGGGTATTATACTGTACCTATAATTATAACTTTTAAATTTAAACACAATTTAAACTTTTAAATTTAAACACAATTTCATAAAAATTCCTATGATCATGTGGTTCAATCCTGATCAAATTATTATCATGCAGTATTATAAAGTATTATAATATGTATTTGAAAAAAGATATGGAACGTGTAAATTTATGTCTGACTAAGTGGTATTCTGTTGTGACTGTGGTACATGTACACCTTATTTGTTAATTGCCTTATTGCTCTACTCTATAGATCAAGAATGTGCAAGTGTAGATGTAGAGAGGCCATTTAAAGGTATGGTTTTCTTTGTTCACCTTTGTCCAAGCAAACATTTACATGTGACTGCTGACAGTATCAAACAAGTACTTTGTCAGAAAGGCGCCAGTATTAGTTTGTTTTTCTGTCGAGATGTCACACATTTGTTGACTAATGTCAGTGTGAAAATTAGTCAACCATATTATTTTATTTTGCTCATATGATAATACTGGATACATGCTGAAGTTTATTGGTCCAATCCTAGGACTAGGTGAAAATTAATTCAGTCCCTGGACTGGATCAAAATTAATTCACCTCACTTTATGTAGGGATTCACTCGTTTGAGATGTTAATCCAAATCCTTCAGTGGACCAAACCCATATTAATCAAAATTTTTAACTCAACAAGTCCCGACAAAATTTTCATCACAGCTTGAAAGAGCATCACAAAATTAGCAATATTCCAAAGTTTTGTTGCGAAATAAAATTACAAACTTAACTGAAAATTACAAACTTCGCAAGGCTATATTATCCGCACTTTACAACTTTTCGCAACGAAACTTTGGAATATTACTAATTTGGTGATGCTCTTTCAAACTCTGATGAAATTTTTGTTTAGGCTAGTTCGGATCAAAATTTTAGAAAAGTGGTACCGTTTCCCGCTCGTAATACAAAATTACTGAAAATTGCAAATTTCGCAAGGCTACAGTATATTATCCGCATTGAAGTGTTGGAGTGTTGAAGTATTCTTTCTTACTATTTAATTTTACATTTTACTGCTTTTGCTGTACTGTAGGCAACTCGTCTTACAAAATGTGACATTTGTATAATGCTTAAAGAAGAAAAGCAAAAAACCATGGATAAAGTGGCAAGGAACTACTACGACATGCTGTATTCTCAGCATAATCAACTTCAACGGTATGAACACTATAATTATAAACTACATACTGTAAATATCAAATTTCAGTGTGAACAAAAAGAACATTATGGCAAACATCCGATACATTCACATGTTTTATAAACATGGAAATAGTCGTTCGTCCTGATATTATGTGTGGGTCATTGAAGTTGTGAGATAAGGCCATTCAGAAATACATAAACCCAGGTTTAGCGCTAACCGAACTTCCAAGCTTTGAACAACAATCCTGGATGTTAAAAACTCGCATCACTACAGTATATACACGAGTGCAATGTGCATCCAACACAGAAACACCCTGTTACAGTACGTCGCAGTGTAAAAAAACTCTCTTCCTCTTATTTTTCATTGCAGAGAAGAGAGGGAAAAATACTATCACCATCGTCAGGAAGCGAAATCAAAACCCGAGAAGATCGCTTGTGTGATAATTGATGGTATGGATCAAATGAAATTATTAATTCCTAAAATGCTCAATCAAGCCAAAGCATACGCAAGTGCTTGGAGACTGAAAACACATCTTACAGGTAATTATGACTTTTGGTTTTTCGCTGGAATTTTCCGGGCATTGCCCTGGGTCTTCATCAGGGTTAATAGTATTGTTTGCAAAGATGAAGATTTGGGTTTGGATATCTAATATTTTGTCAAATATACAGAGGGTGCATTTGCAGAGCAAAAACCATGCTATAAAGCGATGATAAACCTGTATTTCTAGGCCTGTCTTTGCCTCATTCGGTAATATAGATTGGCTGGTTGAACTAGTCAGCCAACTAGTGATTAGAAAACTAGAAAACAGCCTGTCAATGCCAGACCTAAGGCTTTTAATGTAAACACAGTTTATATGCAAAAGTTTAACTATAGCATCGTGAACTTATATCTAATATCCTACAGGTGTTATCAATCATGGCAGAGAAGCTCTTGGCTATTTCGATCTCAACCAGTGGCCGCATGACAGTAACCTTACTTTAAATGTTTTGTTGCATGTTATTTTGAGAATGAACCCAATCCCGGATAAACTTTATCTTCAAATGGACAACTGCTGGAGGGAGAATAAAAATTAATTTGTCCTTACGTTTCTTGGTGTTCTAGTTCAGTTGGACATCTTTAAAAAAGTGCTGCTTTTTGTTGAAAAAAATTGCATTTAGACCGAGATTCTTTAAGAACATACATGGAATATAATTTGATATATACATGGAATATATACTGATAATTGTTTTATCACGATAGGTTAAGATCAATTTTCTAATGAAGGGGCACACTCATGAAGACTGCGATCAGTTATTCAGTCGCTATGGTACAAAACTTTCCAGCAATAATGTTGTAACCGTAGAAGGTATGTGTATTGAATGTATGTTTTGACGGCGTTAGGTGTGTTATGACTATAATATCTTTTTAGCCTTACCAATTCAGGATTTTTTGTTATCTAGACATGATGACCATGTTTGAGGAATCGTACAGCCCTTCACCGATTGCATGCTTATTGAACCAGATGTTTGATATAAGGGAATGGCTGACACCAGTGAATGCCCAATTGCACAATATATCTAACCCTCATGTTTTTGTAATTGAAAAGAATACAGCGAACATTGTTGTGCTAAGGTATAAGAATTGGAGCAGAGATCTCGAGTGGAAACCACATAATGATCCAGCCAACGGAATTCCTATCCTTACCCCGGTATGTCGTTTACGAAATAATGTAACTCATTCTTATTACGGGTCTGCATTAAGAAAAACAGTCGTTTTGTTTGCATTGTTTGATTTGTCAAAGCATGCAAGAGCACAACCTTAGCTATATGGAACCTCGCTTTTGTAATTCACATACTTTGTCTAGAGCTACAGGTCATTTACGGAAGCAAGGCCCTATAGTCACGGGCCTCACGGCTGAATACTTTCCGGAAGAATGTACTGCTGATAGTACTATAATTTGTATTTTTACCCTGTTTTATCCGATTCTTCAGTACACTATATAAAACGATTTTCCAAGGAATATATTTGTATTGTGTCAGGGAAGATTTTGCTGACTGCGAACTTCGTTTTTTGTAATTTAGAATGTGGATGTACCAATTACAGTTCCCAACCTCGTGCCGTCATCGCCTGACAAAGTCGATTTGCAACGTTTGGAACGAGACATCCCCAAGTTTCTGGATAATTCCAGGGTAATAACACAGGAGCAGCGTGAGTGGTGGCACCGCTGGTTTTCGAATTCACAAAAGGTCTACGGACCAGCGCCACCTAAACCTAATACATGGTTACTGAATGAGTTGAAGCAGAAGAAAGCCAACTGCATCATCACCAATGACCAGGAGACAAGAGATGAAGAAGACGGAAACGAAATTCCATCAGGTGTTCCTGATGATGTGCCGAAGATTGTGGCAGCTCAATGTGGAGAAATTCCAGAGGTATATAAAATGTAGAAAATTTAAATTAACCCAAAACGGAAGAATCGTGTTGTATTCTTCCTATAATTAACTCGGCTATTTTTTTATATTTTAGGTCTATGTTGGATCATACCGCAAAAGAACAACAGTTACTACTGTAGACAATGTATGGGACCATGTTCTCGTCGAGTCGCTTGTTGCGGTTAACCTGGAAAACTACAATAAAGTTCCTGTCATTGGGAAAGTTTTGGAAAAAAAGGACAATGAATTTACAATTCATTATTGGAAGGGTTCGTGGAACAAAAAATGGGAACCATGGCTTCACAGTGAACGACCTTGGACAGATGTACTTCCAAAAGAATGTGTTTACCTGGCTGCTTTTACTCTTAATGAAGGTGACAAACTTTCTGCGGACACAAAAAGGCAAATGAAATCGTTTTTGAATGGTGGACAAAACCAGTAAGATCGCAAAAATTGTTGCATGCATAAAGAATATTCATTTGATAATAATGAGAAGTACTTGGCCCGATATCTTCAAGCCAAATACTTAATATTGTAAGCATGCAGCTTTTGCCTTTTGGCCTTTGGCTTGAATTTAGCAAAAGCTTTCAATTGGCTTGAATTTACCAAAAGCTGCTTACAATTTTAAGTTTTTGTCTCAAAATATCCAGGCCAAAACTTTCCATTACATTGCGATAATTTGCAAATACATGCATGTAAGAAAGTTATGGGAATTTTGTCCTGAATTTATCCAAGCCAAAACATGGCAAAGATAGTCAATACTCTACAATTTCTCACGAAATTTCCTAAAAAAAATAAATCACCCTCTTGGTTTTAAGTACTTGGTTGGCTTACATGTATATCCAGGCCAAAGTTATGGAAATCTTGTCCTAAATTTATCCAATCCAAAACATGCAAACAATACTCTAGTCTTGAATAAATTCAAGCCAAACCGGTGATTTCTTATTATCTTTCAAGCGAAATTGTAGAGTATTACTAGTGTGTAGAGTATTGTAATGGAAAGTTTTGGCCTGGATAGTAAGCAGCATTTATCGTTTTAGTTCAAGCCAAGCGAGTGAATTTTTAGGATATTTCGTGCGAAATTGTAGAGTATTGTTGCCATGTTTTGGCTTGGATAAGTTCAGGACAAAATTCCCATAACATTTTTACCTGTATTTGCGAATTATCGCATTGTAATGGAAGTTTTGGCCTGGATATTTTCAAGCCAAATACGTAAAGCCAAGCGAGTGTTTTTTCAGGATATTTCGTGCGAAATTGTAGAGTATTGTTGCCATGTTCTGGCTTGGATAAATTCAGGACAAAACTCCCATAACATTTTTACCTGTATTTGCGAATTATCGCATTTTAATGGAAAGTTTTGGCCTGGATATTTTCAAGCCAAATACGTAAAACCAAGCGAGTGATTTTTTAGGATATTTCGTGCGAAATTGTAGAGTGTTGTTGCCATGATTTGGCTTGAATAAATTCAGGACAAAATACCCATAACATTTTTACCTGTATTTGCGAATTATCGCATTGTAATGGAAAGTTTTTGCCTGGATATTTCCAAGCCAAATACGTAAAACCAAGCGAGTGATTTTTTAGGATATTTCGTGCGAAATTGTAGAGTATTGTTGCCATGTTTTGGCTTGGATAAATTCAGGACAAAATTCCCATAACATGTTTACATGTATTTGCGAATTATCGCATTGTCATGGAAAGTTTTGGCCTGGGTATTTTCAAGCCAAATACGTAAAACCAAGCAAGTGATTTTTTAGGATATTTCGTGCAAAATTGTAGAGTATTGTTGCCATGTTTTGGCTTGGATAAATTCAGGACAAAATTCCCATAACATTTTTACATGTATTTGCGAATTATCGCATTGTCATGGAAAGTTTTGGCCTGGATATTTTCAAGCCAAATACGTAAAACCAAGCAAGTGATTTTTTAGGATATTTCGTGCGAAATTGTAGAGTATTGTTGCCATGTTTTGGCTTGGATAAATTCAGGAAAAAATTCCCATAACATGTTTACATGTATTTGCGAATTATCGCATTGTGATGGAAAGTTTTGGCCTGGATATTTTCAAGCCAAATACGTAAACCCAAGCAAGTGATTTTTTAGGATATTTCGTGCGATATTGTAGAGTATTGTTGCCATGTTTTGGCTTGGATAAATTCAGGACTAAATTCCCATAACATTTTTACATGTATTTGCGAATTATCGCATTGTCATGGAAAGTTTTGGCCTGGATATTTTCAAGCCAAATACGTAAAACCAAGTGAGTGATTTTTTAGGATATTTCGTGCGAAATTGTAGAGTGTTGTTGCCATGATTTGGCTTGGATAAATTCAGGACAAAATTCCCATAACATTTTTACCTGTATTTGCGAATTATCGCATTGTAATGGAAAGTTTTGGCCTGGATATTTCCAAGCCAAATACGTAAAACCAAGCGGGTGATTTTTTAGGATATTTCGTGCGAAATTGTAGCGCATTGTTGCCATGTTTTGGCTTGGATAAATTCAGGGCAAAATTCCCATAACATTTTTACATGTATTTGCGAATTATCGCACTGTCATGGAAAGTTTTGGCCTGGATATTTTCAAGCCAAATACGTAAAACCAAGCAAGTGATTTTTTAGGATATTTCGTGCGAAATTGTAGAGTATTGTTGCCATGTTTTGGCTTGGATAAATTCAGGACAAAACTCCCATAACATTTTTACCTGTATTTGCGAATTATCGCATTTTAATGGAAAGTTTTGGCCTGGATATTTTCAAGCCAAATACGTAAAACCAAGCGAGTGATTTTTTAGGATATTTCGTGCGAAATTGTAGAGTGTTGTTGCCATGTTTTGGCTTGGATAAATTCAGGACAAAATTCCCATAACATTTTTACCTGTATTTGCGAATTATCGCATTGTAATGGAAAGTTTTGGCCTGGATATTTCCAAGCCAAATACGTAAAACCAAGCAAGTGATTTTTTAGGATATTTCGTGCGAAATTGTAGAGTATTGTTGCCATGTTTTGGCTTGGATAAATTCAGGACAAAATTCCCATAACATTTTTACATGTATTTGCGAATTATCGCATTGTCATGGAAAGTTTTGGCCTGGATATTTTCAAGCCAAATACGTAAAACCAAGCAAGTGATTTTTTAGGATATTTCGTGCGAAATTGTAGCGTATTGTTGCCATGTTTTGGCTTGGATAAATTCAGGACAAAATTCCCATAACATTTTTACATGTATTTGCGAATTATCGCACTGTCATGGAAAGTTTTGGCCTGGATATTTTCAAGCCAAATGCGTAAAACCAAGCAAGTGATTTTTTAGGATATTTCGTGCGAAATTGTAGAGTATTGTTGCCATGTTTTGGCTTGGATAAATTCAGGACAAAATTCCCATAACATTTTTACATGTATTTGCGAATTATCGCATTGTCATGGAAAGTTTTGGCCTGGATATTTTCAAGCCAAATACGTAAAACCAAGCGGGTGATTTTTTAGGATGTTTCGTGCGAAATTGTAGCGTATTGTTGCCATGTTTTGGCTTGGATAAATTCAGGACAAAATTCCCATAACCTTTTTACATGTATTTGCGAATTATCGCATTGTCATGGAAAGTTTTGGCCTGGATATTTTCAAGCCAAATACGTCAAACCAAGCGGGTGATTTTTTAGGATGTTTCGTGCGAAATTGTAGCGTATTGTTGCCATGTTTTGGCTTGGATAAATTCAAGACAAAATTCCCATAACATTTTTACCTGTATTTGCGAATTATCGCATTGTCATGGAAAGTTTTGGCCTGGATATTTTCGAGCCAGATATTTAAAATTGTAAGCAGCTTTTGCCGTTTTGCATTTTGGCTTGAATTTATTCAAACCAAACGGGTGATTTTTTAGGATATTTCGTGCGAAATTGTAGAGTATTGTTGCCATGTTTTGGCTTGGATAAATTCAGGACAAAATTCCCATAACATTTTTACCTGTATTTGCGAATTATCGCATTGTAATGGAAGTTTTGGCCTGGATATTTTCGAGCCAAATATTTAAAATTGTAAGCAGCTTTTGCCGCTTTGCATTTTGGCTTGAATTTATTCAAACCAAGCGGGTGAATTTTTAAGATATTTCATGCGAAATTGTAGAATTTTGTTGCCGTGTTTTGGCTTGGATAAATTCAGGGCAAGACTCCAATAGCTTTTTTGCCTGTAATTGGAAATTATCGCATTGTAATTGAAATTTTTGGCCTGGATATTTTCAAGCCAAGTATTCTTCAAATTGTCATTGACATTGTAAGCAGCTTTTATCGCGTTTTGGCTTAAGCCAAGCGGGTGATTTTTTAGGATATTTCGTGCGAAATTGTACAGTTTTGTTACCATGTTTTGGGTTGGATAAATTGAAGACAAGATTCCTATAACTTTTTTACCTGTATTTGCAAATTATCGCATTGTAATGGAAGTTTCGGCCTGGATATTTGCTAGCCAAATATATTTCACATTGACATTGTAAGCAGCTTTTATCGTTTTGGCTCGTTTTGTTGAGTATTGTTGCCATGTTTTGGCTTGGATAAATTCAGGACAAGATTGCTATAATTATTTTTTAAATATAGTCGTAACGTATCTGCAAATTTTTGCATTGTTGTGTTGTGCTCTTGGCCTGAATATTTCCAGGCCAGATAGTATGTTTCTTGATGGTATACTGCATTTTCTTGGTTATAGTGTGACAGTATTTTACACTCTATAGCGAAATTCGGTACTTTTTTACCACAGTAAATGATTATGCTCGATGTTGATGTGGCGGTGTTAAATTGGATATTTGTGCTGTTTTGGCATGATTAGAATTTTGGTGAAGATTTCAGACCAGAAAAATGGATTTTCTCTTGCTAAAAGCTCTTCCTTGATAATATTACGGTAACAGCTCACTTTTCTCTAGAATTTGCACTAAATAGAATATCCCTGTTCATAATATTTCGTGTTTATATCATATATCCGTTTTTAATAGAAAATTTACATTGTGCTTAAAATATTTTCGGAAATTTCAAATATATTAAAATATGTTAGCAATTCTTACCTCGAGCATGTATCATTTTGAGATAGTTGAATAATACGCGCTTCCAAGGTTAAGGTTAAAGGACGCCATCTTGAAAATATTGTTTTCACCATTGTGTTTGGACCCCTTGCACTATTGTGATTCATTATGGCGTCGTTAACCTTTGCATGTTCAGCTCCCCTGCTAGTGTAAACTCTCTTCAGTATTTCACACAATCATAATCCTGGCTAGAAATGAATTTTTTTAGTCCTACGCCCGCACTGCCGGTAAATAAACGCATGGTATAATAGCTGAAGTTGGAAATTTCAATAGATACCAATACCAACAATACCTTGAAGAAATTAATTTTTTAATTCGATTAAATCATTGAATGGCCTAAAATGTAAATATGTAAATATATTTCCTTCTTGTATCA